CCCCCCCCCCCCCCCATTCCCTGCATCCCTCTGGTTCTGTGCTGTCCCTGCACCCTGTTTCCCCTGTGGGTCAGGAGTGATGGGGTGCTTGTTCATAGGGAGGGGCTGGGCAGAGAAAAGGCTGCTGTGATCCAGCAAGTGAAAGGGGGAGTTCATTTGCCTTTATGGAAAAAAACAAATGAAAGTTATATTTGCTATTTATAGGGCTAAAAAATGAAAAACCCATTGCAAAATGCAAACATGTGTAAAAGACTTCAAAAAGTAGGGGGAGGGAGTGTTTTGCTTGGGGCAGCAAAAAAACCTAGAGCTGGCCCTGGGGGAGGGGAAAAATATGGGGAAGGGGCTTGTGCTGAGGGGAGGAGAGGGTCAGGAGAAGAAGAAGAAGAAAGGAGAAGGCACCAAGGGACAGGGGAGAAATGCACCAAGGGATAGGGGAGAAATGCCAGGGGGCCAAGTGCAGACAATGAGGGAAAGGGCAGGAGGGGAGGTGTCAGTGGGAGGGAAGAGAGTAAGGGCACTGGGAGTTAGAGGGGGAGGTGCTGGGAGAAGGCTAGAAAGAAGGGGTGGGCATGAGGAAGGCAAAGATGGAGCAATTCATGTGTGAGGGCACAGGGCTATGAGGGGAACGGGGGCAGAGGGTGGTGAGCATCAGGGAAAAAGAGCAAACGGGGCAGGGGCAGTGAGGGAAGGGGGAGGCACCAGGAGGGTGTGGGTGCCAGGGGATTCTGGGGGTGAAGCAGAAGGGAAGGCACCTGCAGGGGAGGGACCAGCACCAGAGGAGAGAGGCAGGGCAGGTGTGTAGAGGGAGGTGTTAGGAGAGGGGATGAGGAGGAGTAGCTCACATGATCAGAGTAGGGCTACTGGAGAGGTGCAGGTCTCAGGAAGGCTGAGGGCAGTGAGTCAGGACAGTTGGGGGGCAGCAGGTACCAAGGGAGATGGAGCAAGGGGAGGAGACATGGCAGCAGAGGGAAAAGGTAGAGGTTTATAAGATTTAATAAATATTACTCAAGTTATTAACAACAACATTAGTAATTACTGTTATTAGGAATTTATGCTATTAAAAACATTTTTGGGGGTGAGGGTGGCGTGTCTTGTCTGGCAAGTAGGGTTTTCCAGAATTTGTTGAGCCCTGCTAATGACAACGGCCATCTAGTTTTAAGGGAATATTTCAGATGGACAGAGGGGATTGACTTTGTAGCTAGTATTTGGTAATGTGTTTCTCTACTGGACCATCTAGTCATCCACTCCCAAGCAGCAATATAGCTGTATCTTATGCAAGCTGCCTAGTTTCACACATTGGGCAGCAGTATCTATAAGTGAAGAATTTACATTTTATTGTACTCATTTACAGTCTGAAGGGACAGAATTTTTGGATACATATTTAGTTAACTTGATTAGTCTCTGTAAGTAGAAAAAGTTACAGGCCACATATAAACAGTCAACACTAACTGTTCATACTGGTTGATCAGCAGAACGTGGTAATATTCTCTTCCAGCTTCTCTTTGTTTGCACCAGAGAATTCATGTACCTGTAACAAAAGTTACAAAATGGTCATTGAGAACAGTGATGTTAGCCAACTAAGTTTGCATTTTAGTCCTATGTTTGTAAGTAAAACAATACTTCAAGTTTGCATTCTGCAGTGCCCCATCCCAAAGTATTACCCATCCCTTGGGCCAGACTTTTATTCTTCTCCAAGCACCTCCTACTGATTCCTATCATACAGACGTCAAATTTAACATATTTCATAAGCAGCTATGCATATCCCATGTCAAAGGGTTCTCAAAATATTAAGTTTAATGTTGTACAACTTAAGTTCTTAACAGATATCTTGCATGTTATCCACAAAACTGGCTGCAGAGGTCACATAAGCTATGCAGTTAACAGTGTGCAAGACCAGGTCTTCACCTAGTGCACTAAGGTGTTATACTACTTCACATCCACATGAACTAACTTTAGGTAGCACTTTAAAAACCTTCTTCAGCTAAATAGATTTGTGGACAAGGGACAGACTCAGCAGCAATAAGTCTAAGTTAGCCTGTATCTGCATAGACAAGCCTTAAGATGCCACAGGATTCCTTAAGTGGTTTTTACCCAGGAAAGCTTATGCCCAAATAAATCTGTCAGCCTGTAAGGTGCCATAGGACTCCACACTTCAGCAGCAACAGGATAGGTCTAGCTTTAAAGAGAGAAAGTTACTAGAGATTCTAGAATGAATCTAACATCTTGTCCATAATCTCAATCCACTCAACATTTGAGGTATATTTCTCTGATGGCCAAATTAGGTTTTGAAAGTCACAGCTCCTACCCCAGAAGGCCCTTCCTCACCTGTACAAGCGTTATGAGCAGCGTGTCTGCAAGCCTGATTATACACTAGCAAACATTCAAAGTGACAAATTATGAATGAAGGGCCTGTTCAATATTAGTACAGCCATCCAATTATTTCATAACTAACACAACCAAATAAAGCTACTAAACATCACAAGCTCATCTCTAGGTTGATAGACCGCAAGAGAAGTTTTGGCCCAAGTTCTCTTTACAGCACCTGGAGTTTAGATTGATGTGTCAAAAAATTGACACTAAATTATGGTGTATGGCTGAAGATGAGGTAAATTCAATACTTCAAGAATAAACACATTTATGAGAGATTAGTTTGCTTGTTTTGTGAAAAGTTATGAGCGGTTGTATAGTTATAGCTGGGTCACAGAAAGAAAGAAATGCTAATTAAAGTTAAGTCTAGGTGTCTTGCAGCTGGGATGAGTGCATTAGGGCTCACTGAGTTATAACGTCACATTAGGATTCACCTGGAACAAACCTAGAGTGTTGCCTGAATTTATTACATGCAGCTGGATCATTTAGAAGTAGTTTGTTCCAGCATTAGTGACTGACCCATTGCTGAGAGTGGAAGGGGGTCAGAGATATCATCCGGTTCTTGCTTGAGGCTACTTTAAAGCCATTTATGCTCTCAATATGGGAGAGAATAAGTGAACCATGTTGCTAAATTGACACTAAATTATGGTGTATGGCAGAAGATGAGGTAACAAATTCAATACTTCAAGAATAAACATGAGATCAAGAGATGCAAGCTACTGTAAGACAGTCATACTGTACCTCTTATCCAGAGACTTACTCAGGAAACATCTATTCTGTTTAGGGTCACTGCCCCAGCGTTCCATTTTTCCCCTAGAATAACTTCCAGCAGCTCCATGTTTAAAAAACTAAAACTTTTGAGCCCCTACACATAGTTATTGTAGAACCAATAGTGTTTCGGCATCCAGAATCCCCCTACACCACCCTCATAATCCTATATCACTGAAAATGTTGAAAGCCTACCTTTGCGCCCTGTTTGTAAAAGTGGAATGTTGGCATGCATTGGACTCCACAGTGTGAAGCAACATCCTAAAAGAAGGATCAGTGGAATGTTTAATTTTTAGCTCAGCAAATTAACAGGAAATGAAACTTGTGCAAGACTACAGAAAATGAAGGCGAACCAAGTAATTACTTGCTAATCTGTAGTTGACATACTATAGTCCTGTTTTAGATTTACAACTAGCAATTGTGTTGTCCTCTTGCAGAATTTGTTAAGACCAACAAGACTGCTTCTGTAGAAAGTAGCATACTACTACAGAAAGCTAACTTTCTTCCATACAATGCATTTCACAGCTGAGGCCAGGCCTGAACTGGTGGAGAAAAAGTGATGCAAAATACGCAACTCTAGCTCTGAAATGTGTAGCTGGAGTCAGTGGACCTGGCACAAGTTTTCTAGGCAGCCCCACATCAGGAGGAGGATAGAAGAAATACTCCCATCAACATGCCTTACTCCTTGCAATAGCAAGGAGTACTGGCGCTGACAGTGGGTCTGGAACCTCAGAGAACTGATCAGAGTGTCAATCCTCTGGCAAGAAGAGACATGGCCTGAATGTCTGCGTTATACAAGCATCTACTAAATCAGGGATGGGCAATAATTTTTTTGGGAGGGCCCACTCCAACATTTTGGAAAGTAGTCAAGAGTCACACTTTCCTGTGGCAGGGGTGTAGGGTCTATGTTGGGTGCAGAAGGGCACACATGGTAAGGGACTGGGGTGCAGGAGACTGTGTGGGGTCTGAGGGTGTTTAGGTGGAGGAGGGGGTTGTGACCTGGGTCAGGGGATTGGGGTGTAAGGCCAGGGAGGGAGTATGGGTTCAGGAGAGGATTCTGGCCTGGAGGAGGGGTGTAGGAGGGAGGTACAGGATCTGGGAGAGAGTGGTCACCTGGGGCAGAGCATTTGGATAGTAACCTGGGGAAGGAAGTTGGGGTGTAGGTGTGTTGGGGTGCCAGAGGCAAGCACTGGCTGGGAAGAGTTTACCTAAGTGGCTCCTGGCCAGCAGACAGGGGCTCCCTGACTG